TCCTACAAAAGGTAGAAATTGGTGAATCAACGAGGCATGTCACTCATGACAAAGGGTGTAGTATCGGGGGTCATCATGATTGCATTAGTCAGAATCCACACACTGAATCACCATTGTGTTCTGACGTGCTTCTGATGATTTTTAGAGTTTAGGACCTGGTAACCTTCGGGAAGGCATTTAAGGGACTTTTAGGGCAAAAGATACCCTCAAATGATATGAGGAGTTCCAAGGCATCTACCCAATGCGTATTCCCCTTTCGGTGGGTGGGGAGGGGTGGTACAGAGGCATCTCCTCTATGCCTCTTCTCGCCGAGCACTTTGAGGGAGGAAAACAAGGAAGAAGAAATAGAAAAGGAAGGAAGGATGAAAAAAAAGAAGGAGGGAGGGTCCACAGTTGATACATATCCTGGGACGGGACTTTAGCATCGGCCAGGGAAGAAGCTCCAAGGTTGATGAACCAATTCGAAGGACGTTTCTTATGCTATTCTGTGTGAATTACTTTAAGCTCACTTCTGCACAAGTGGTCCTTTGAATGCCCCGCCCCCAGAACAAGATCTGAGCTTTACTATGCCAGTCTGGGATCATAGCAAGGCGGCGATGAAAGGATGCAGTCAGATTAAACTGGGTTCGCAGGATGAGTTTGACCCTTCACACCTATCTGCGTGAGCTGGAGCGTCAATCGGATTGAGAACGACGCACATCGCATCTCGGTCAACTGGTTCGATCGAAAACCGGTTTCTAAGTGCGTACTTTACATGATGACTAATCTAAACCAACTGGTGTAGAAGTTGAGCAGGTTTTCATGTATCCTCGCCAAAATCGGACCAAATCAAACTGACTCAGTTGACAGTTGGACACATGAGACAGAAGCATAAGAAAAACCACACCGCGCGGCCTGTACAGGTGTACTTTTCAGGATATAGCCACATTAGAGCAGATAGCTTACAGTTATGCGCAACAAATGTTCTTGGAAAAAATGTCTCCCTACTGTTGAGCACACTTTCAATATTTATGGAACACGATCTCCTTCAATTCAAAAGGCCAGCTACACACAGTTTCTTGTCTTCCCTTCGCGTAAAGGCACATCCTGCCGTTGGAGGGTTGGGGTTTGGGGTATTTTTTCTGTTTGCAAATGCGACCCCACTTCCTGCCGTCCTCTTTTCCGGATCCCTATCACTTTACCTGCACTTTTATTTCCAGAATTCTCCAGTTTTCCTCGGAGAGCTGCCGTCGGGGTGGAGCGGCGGGTACCTAGCGCCAATGAAATAGAGAACCTAGAGGAATTGACAAGAAAATGCACTCGGAAGCAAATGTGACACTTCTATCCGTCCACCCACCAACCCCCTCACTGGGGACCTCCATTACGACGTGCACTATTGCCCACTCCTCCTATTCCATAGAAATCGCAGCTCGTCGGTCGAAGAGAATGGAGGCGTAGCAGGGTGGGATCTAATAAAGAAAATGATCGAGGAAGGATGACGATCCGTCACATTAGGGCAGATTAAGAGACCAATTACGACTCACCCTCGGGGACCATGGTGCAAGCTCATTCGTTGAGGACTCTTCCTAAGCTGTACTCTGCCCATTTCATCGACAAAATGGTTGTGTCATAAACTTAACTGGGTTCCGCCATATCGTGGTGTAGGAGGAGCCGGATCGAAATACCTCCCAGGGTAGGGTTACACCGGAGTCCCATAGTGATGCTCGTGACAAAAGAACCCGAAGTGACCAAGCTCTTGGTGTGAAGGCGCTTTCAATGCGCCCTAGTAAGGCTATCTGTAAGACCACATCGACTACGATCACTTCCCACATTGTCTTAGTCCACAGCACGCTGTCACTGCCTGGTCGTGTAGCGCTGGATTTAGCACACAGCCAAAGGCTCAGAGTATCAGGACCACTCCTTTCTACCATAAACAAAAAAAGTT